CAGGAAAGTTCGAGCAGATTTCCGTACCGAAAGCATCCTCCGAGGTCAAAGACTGAAGCTACTCACATCTACATCATTCTCGTCGACCGCTATCCTGACGCCGTTATTCTGCTGAGTGCAAACTAAAGGGGACAAACGCCGGACTGGAGTTTCGCTCTTATCGCAGCTCATCAGTAGTGCATATTCCAAGCCTTGCCACAGTTTAAACTCTGGATATCTGTAATCCGAGGTGAACACGTTACCACCACTCGACCAGTACGTGCTGGACTTACCTGGACTAGCACACCTGAACAGGCAAATGTGTTCACAATCAAGCGATGGGCGAGACGGCCCAAGTGGTTAGAGAGCGAATTACTGACCAGAAGGTTCGAGGTTCCAATCCGACCTCTACCTCTCGACCACCCCTGTCTGGGCTTGGGCAACCTGGAAGTATCCCAGCCCGACTGCATATGTTCTCTCAAGTGCCACCGAGCTCCCGGTCCGGATGACCTTCCACCCGCACTATTCAAAGACGGGGGTGAAGTCCTCAGCCAGCGCTTGTCCGATCTGTTTGCTTGCATTTGGGAAAAGGAGTCTGTCCCAGACAACTGGGGAGAATCGGTGATAGTGCCCATTTTCAAAAAAGGGGTGCGTAGTGAGTGTGGGAACCACAGGGGGATCAGCTTGACCCCGGTTGTAACGAGACTGTTGGCGTCAATTGTGCTTCGTCGCCTTACGGTGGCTCGTGAGATACTGACCCGAGAGCCGCAAGCGGGTTTTCGGCCTCCTGGAAGTTGTGTTGACCAAATCTTCACACTGTGCCAGGTGCTAGAACAACGCCATACGTATAAGCGACCCACGATTCTAGTATTCCTGGATTTCCGAGGCGCATTCGACTCGGTTGATCGGTCTGTTCTTCTTGAGACGCTTGCCCACCAAGGAATGCCCCGGAAGTTTGTAAACATAATACGCTCTTTGTATTCTCAGACTTCCGGACGTGTGAGAGTGTACGGAGAGCTCTCCAAAAGCTTCCGCACACAAAGCGGTGTCCGTCAGGGATGCCCACTCTCTCCATTCCTTTTTAACTTTGTGATCGATGAAATAATGAGACGAACGCTGGAGGGTCTCCAAAACCCTGGTGTTCAAATAGCCAGTGAAGAAAACCTTGTCGATCTGGAATATGCAGACGACATCGTTCTCATGTTCGAAGAGGAGGAGAAGGCGCAAGTATTCTTGGATGAACTGACCAAAGTCATCCCGTCCTTTGGTATGCATTTTGCACCCACAAAGTGTAAGGTCATGCTTGTGGACGTGCAGTCACTGAACACGCCCCTTACAATCCAGGGAGAGGTACTGGAAGTTGTGGAGCGTTTTACGTACCTTGGAAGTTGTATTAGTTCTGATTGCAGTGTGACAGATGAGGTGAATGCACGAATCTGCAAGGCTCGGGCCGCGTTTGCTAACTTGAGACACCTATGGCGTCAGAATGGTTTATCCCTGAATCTGAAGGGACGTGTGTATCAAGCTACAGTACGGGCTGTTATGTTGTATGGCTGTGAGACTTGGCCTATTCGAGCAGCGGAACTGAGACGTCTCCAGGTGTTCGACAATAGTTGTCTCAGAACCACAGCTGGTGTTGACGAGTCCGTAACGAGGCAGTTAGAAAGCGTGTTTTCGGTTGTGTAACGGGTACTTCCATTGAAGAATGTGTCCAGCACCAGAAGCTGCGTTGGTTGGGACATGTGTTGCGTATGCTGAACCATCATTTGCCGAAAACGGTGCTGTTTTCCATGCCCAACTCAGAGTGGCGTAAAAAGGGAGGTGGCGAACCCTTGACTTGGCAGAGGAGTATGAAGGAGATCACGAAACGCTTGGGTGCTGTCGGTGCTACTCGCCTTCCAGGATGGGGACCGCGTGATCCTCACTGGGCCTGGTTGGAGACACTACAAGATATGGCTGCCAACCGATGTCAGTGGCGTTCTTGTTGTCAGTTTCTATCCAGACTATCTGAGTGAATGTCTGGAGGTGTAGGCACCTCGGAATGATTGTGTTAAGCTAGCACTAAGTCCCTCTCCCATCCACCTTTATTCTTTTCTTTACAATAAGACTTTCAAATGAGTCATGGTTGTACGGCAGTGGAGCATCGGTGTTGAACACTGATGTCATGCTGTCGATGATGATCCCAGTCCTGCATCCTTCGAGTGGCATGGCAGTTAAGCACCGAACGACTTTTTAAGCGATTAGCTTGATTTGGCCTACGCCTCGAATGTGGACCCAGTGACTGTTTTGGTTGGGTTCCTTCGAGTGGCATGGCAGTTAAGCACCGAACGACTTTTTAAGCGATTAGCTTGATTTGGCCTACGCCTCGAATGTGGACCCAGTGACTGTTTTGCATGGTTGGGTTCATCAACTGAGTTGCCCGCCAGAATTTCCCAGACAGATAGTGTCCATGAAGCTTGAAACCTGTTGGAGAAAAATTGTCCAGCTATAGCGCCCTTTCGGTGCCTAACTGCCATACAACCAGAAGGAAACACGAGGCTGGGATACTGCCAGGTTGCCGAAGCCTAGACAGGGGAAGTCGAGATGCAGAGGTCGGATTCTAACCACGGACCTTCCGGACAGTAATTCGCTCCCTGATCACTGAGCCATCTCGCCCTGCTAAAGAATCTTCCGATTAGTTACAGGTGGTCGCGCGATTCGTAGATTTCGCATGCACATCACTCTTGTTGCACTGCTGGTTAACTTTAATAAGAGCAAAACTACGGTCCAGTGCTCCCCCTCTTTTGGTGTAGACTCCTGCGAAAAGTTGCGCGAGGAAAGAAAAGAAAGCGTTCAGCTGTAGCCTAGCTGCCATGCCACCCGAAGGAAGCACCAGGGCTGGGATACTGCCAGGTTGCCGAAGCCTAGACAGGGGAAGTCGAGATGCAGAGGTCGGATTCGAACTACGGACCTTCCGGTCAGTGAATTCGCGCTCTAACTACTTGGGCCATCTCTTGCGCGAGGACGGGAGGACTATTTGAACTAGTGATGCGCAATCAACGAAGCCGACAATCACGAACAACTGGTTGAAGCTAATCGGACCGAGGGCATGACCAATTCATTCACTGGTCACACTGTCCACACGGGTAGTGAATAACTGGAGCAGGCTTCCAACTGAATTGGGTGAAACTGAGGCTAGCTTTAAGAGGTGGCCTAAGCAACTTTAAAGCACAAGCAATTACACAATCTGCAGCTATTGCCACTACTCAGTTTTCAACTGCTGTGGTGGGAAACTTGTGCGAAACTGGAGTGCGAAGAAGCTTACGCTAGCATTCAGTCCCGCCAGGCATTGTAATACACACATGTATGGAAGCCCCAGGACACAGTGATTTTCCGACGGAAGGGGGTGAAAAACTGAAACAAAGCTTATGTGCCGAAGCCAAGTAAGCGAGGTTGCATATCACCAATATAAATCAACCAAAACGCCAGACACTACAACCTACGATACCGACTGATCATCGGCAAGCATGTTTGCCATGTGCCACAACAGTCAGTCACTGGCATATGTCATGAATGACAAGGGCCTAAGCTCAGTTCCCTGGGAAAACCCGCTTGTTGGATCAGCTGTGGTGCAGAGTACATCATGTACCTTGAGGATTAATGGAAACCGGTTTTACAGTCGCCCACGGTCAGTTTGTGGACCGCAGGCAATTTATAAGAACTGAATTCAGTTCATATTCCGAGACAATGTATGTTAGAATACATGGACTATTCCGGGAACCGAACATGCTTGCAATGAAGTCCTAAAAACGTCAACAACGACAGAGAGAAAACAGTGGCCCGGTTTGTAGCACGTGCCACCGACCAGTGTCAGCAACCCTACAACACTCCGATCATTGATTGGTCAGTTTCTCTCACGCCGCAAATGAGTCGGTGATTGATGGACAGATTCAAGGCGACTGCCCATGCATCATAGGTTAAAAGTATCCTTGGTTGTCAGATCTCAGAATTGCCACAGTTGATCTAACACTAGCTACTCACCAAAGAAACACACCGGTCGATCAGCTCAGCTCAGGTGCCAGGACGCCATGCAAAGGCCAAATGTTTCCCAGTTCCTTGCGCGTGAAAACTCTGAGGATGGTGCTGTCGCAATGGTGGGGTGGCCTACATTATTTTGAATTGAAGTGGCGCTGTTTTTTGTGTGTCATGGATTAGGCACCATGATCATGCATGTACTACCAGTTAATCGGGATGTACTCAACCCACTCATCCGCGGCTCTTAGTATTCGCACGATGGAATTCGCGGATTCACGGCTTCATACACAGAATCGAGACTTTTGCCCTAGTTTTTCTCGTTAGTTTTGTTCTTCTCGTTCAGCGGCTGTCGTTCACCTGAAATACACAAATGAAAAAACGTGTAGCACTGCTTTTATGCTCTCAGCGCGGGGCAGTATGCCTGCCAGCGCGAAGACTCGCACAAATAAATGTCCAATAGTGCTTTGGACTGGGTCCTAAAGGGTGCGTGGACAACTGTCGGAAGAAAGTCATTCCACGCAGATAATACGCGAAATGAGAAAAAGTTTTGTTTGATGAACGCGTGTGATCTGAGCTTGAAATTATTCTTACTATGTCCCCGCTGTGTGTTTGCTGGGTCAACGGTGAAAAAACTGTTCGTCAAGCTTTGTTCAAACGGGGTATAAGTGAGAATCAGGTGTCCCTGGAGGCGGCGATACTCCAGGGGATAGAGGTCAAGCGTCGCGAGACGCATTTCGTAGTCCACAGATTTGAGGCCGGCAACCGTTTTCGTAGTGGCTCACTGGACGCGCTCAATGAATGTGACATTTTTCGTGTGTCCTGAGTAGACAACTTGGTTGGCGTATTCCTGGAGCGGTCTGACGTAGGCTCCATTGGGTATTTAGGAGTCCATGCGAGTAATACTGGAGAAGGTGCGCTGGATCATTCGAAAGCTACGACGCGCCATCTTGAACTAAAAGAGACAGGAAACTGAGTTCAGAGTACAAGGCCAATCTTTTGAGTCCCATCTAGGCATCTCGGGGTATCAGTGATGTTAGGAAAGTATTCCAACAGAATTTTCCCGCCAGAGGTATGTTTGCTTCAGCGGACAATGTAATTCGGTGAGCTGCAAAGATTCGAGCAGAGATTATAATGGATTTTGGTTTGTGCTCATACGCGACAAAATGCAATATTTTGACGTAGAAAGTTTTATTCCGCACACAGGTTTTGCAGCTGCGAACATTCAGCGGCTAATGGGCACCCTCATCCGGTCGGCACCATAATGAGCGTCTCAGTCATCTTCCATGGCCCCCAAAAGGCAGTAAAGGGCAGCATAAAAGGCGGTATTACATAAAAGAGCAAGGGATTTCAATATGGGAAGGATGGTAGAAGGCGATGAGGCCACAAAAATGTAGTTAGTTATTAAAACGCGTAAACGATGTTGAAAATAAACCACTTCTAATCTCTCTGTGGTAAGCTTAGGTGTGGGTCCATTTATTGTGTGGTGAAACCCCGCGAATGCGCTTCACCTCCCAAAACGAGTCCTGATTTCATCCCCCGTATGTTGCTCGTTTGCATCGTGTGGATGTTTTTTCCCCATGAGGTCTAAGTTTCCTTGTCTACAACTTTCATGTTATCAGGAGAGAGTCCAGAACCTCCCCTCGAAGTCTTTGAGCCCCGGCCTACTCCAACCGGCATTCATAGGCTTCATTTCCTGGAGTTCACTAGAATCTCGCGAAAAGTAGCTAAACTTTCTCAACATCAAGAACGTTCTTCCTAATGATATGTAGCCGGCACCTAAGCCGCACACCACATTCCCGGTCCAACTAACGTCTTATAACGTGTGGAAGCAGCTGTGGTTAATGGCCCCATACTGTGATGTTTGAACTTCGACTTAGTGGACTTTCGGACAGTCCCCGTGTGTTATTTGCCTAGCCGTAATTTGGGAATGAGAATTTTACAAAATTCTCACATCTCTTTTTCCGATTCCAAAGTCTGTTTTATTGTTCGAAGGAATGCCAACCTCTGCATCCCTGGTTTTGGTCAGGAGTTGGCACCTATCTGCCAACCGTTATAGCCTCCATATTTCGCTTATTTCACAAGACGACGCAGATCGCTTTCGGTTTTGAGATTTGCCGAATTCTTTGGTGCCTTTTGCAAATATCTCGAGGGTAGTTTAAGGTTCTAGTCATGCCTCTTACCTACAAGGTAGCCGAAGTTTTTTAAGTGCCAAGCCGTGTAAGATGCTGACTCTGGAGTGTTTTGAGTTGTTTCGCCTTTCCGATCCCACGACAAGGCAGGTCCTTTCAAATTTGTTTTACTTGAGCTTCATTCTCGATTTTTAGCACGCATTCTATTTTGCGATAGCACAAGCACAGTACCGCAAGACGTAGGTTTGACCTAATAGATGTTTGTTGTAAAATCGGAGGCCGTAACTCACAACCTTTGAGAAGGCGTTAAACAAATACCAGAAAGATAATTATCTGGTATTCTGGCAGCCAGTAGGCAGAAAAGCATCAAAACGTTTTGAGTCTTGAATGCTTGTTCCGCAAGAGCAGCTGGCAATGCTCCCAAACAAGCAATAGCCAACGATTTAGAAGGTACTGAGTTTAGGGCGCTTATAATGAAACAAGTGCCTGAAGCACCCATCTGGTATTGTTAATGGATGCACGAAGCTCATCCGTCAGTAACCTACCTACTTGTGCATAATCACAGATCGAGCGGCTCACTGCCTGTAAGACGGCGTCTGAGCAAAGAGTGGTTAAGCAGCTGCAGCGCCCCTCATAAATATGGAATGCCGTCTCTTGAAGTGCGGCACATTTTACCAAGATAACTTGGCAAGTTCTTTATCAATGAGGACAGCTACAGCCACCGCCTGAACTGTTGGTCAGCCCTGTTGGTTATGTAAATGATAGTTTTGCTTTGTTTTGACAGATATATAGTGTTTAACGGCCCTACGGAGCCCCTAGTGAACTGAACAAATTACTGATGTAAGCCAGATACAAAGTCACAAAGAGAAAAACAAGTAAATCGTGACTCAGTTCAAAATAGGAGATTCCGTATTTCCGTATTCCGCTGAACCACCACACCAAGAATACTTCTATCTTCCTGGTATCCCAGATCCCCGGTGGTCGAAATATTATTCCACAAGCGTTAATATATTAGTCCAGTGTTTGCAGCTGGAATGTTTGTTCACGTTTAGTGTTATCAGCGGTCAAACATAGCCAACCGGCGGTCACAACAACAGTCACTCAGCAAAAGTCTCAAAGTCACGTTGGAGCCAACGAGCGGGCGGTAGCGGTTGTATTTCAGTAAAACAAACTTTTGTACAGCGATGTGACTGATAATGATGGGGGAAAAGAAGATGATACTGTACATGAGAAAGAGCAGTTTACAAGTGCTACAGATACGTCTTGGGTCCTGGCGAAGGTTCACAAATTCAGATGAGCGCTTGATTTGCATAAGGAAATAGGGCTCCACGGTTACATACGTCTCTTATTCACACCAGACTGCGTTGCTTCTCCGTATATTGGGCGTTGTAAATGGCAAGGAAACACTTGCGGCAAACGGACCTGAGGTTGCTTGAAAACACTAATCTGTTTCATGGAGACAAGCTCTGTACGTTGTCGATCACAAATGTAATGGGTAACGGGCATCCAGTCATATATGCCTGTGTGAAAAGCGAGCAGCTCAGCCCTATACATAAACTGTTTAGCTTGTTTAGAGAGATGATACTTGGACAGCATCCGGTGAATTACTTCGTTACCGAAAAATCATATGCACAAATGTGAGCGGTCAGCTTTGCTTTTTGTTGTTATGTCATGCTGTCCTTTTTCCATATTTGCACGTACGCATCATAAAACACCTACAGATTTTGGTTACAAGGAAGCTATACAAATACCCAGCACTTATACAGCTCCCTGTGATTCTGCACCCAACAGCTTACCCGCTTCTCTCCTTGTTCCTGAAATTGGCTTGGTAATAACATTATATCCAAAAAAGCAAATTATTGTCACTATTTCATCAGGATGAGCTTAATCGCCATTTATCACATTCGTTGCTTCGGCTGCGACGAGATCAAGCAGGTATATCGCCTGAAGAATCTAGGACCATGTGGGCTGATCAAAAGAGATCACCAAGCTGCCGTGTAAGACGATCCTTAACCGAGTTCATTTGGTCCATTTTAGCTCCTGAACCAATTTTCGGAGCATCAAAACGTACAGCTGTTAGCGTTTTGTCGTTCGCACTTGCCCCAAATAAGTTAGTAAATTTAGAGATTCCTCAACAACAGAAGGATTACACAGGCTGAAGGTAACACTAAATCTTCCTTCATTTTTGGGAGGAATTATTGAGTCCTCAGAAATGTCTGACGTATTTCCAACTATTGAATGAAATGAGAAAACATTTGCTGAATCACCCCATCTAATAAGGACATTGCTGGGCTGGCTTTCGTGAGGCCTGAAAAACGTCATACTTAAAAAAATGGTTTAGACGTTTCTGGTATTTAGTTCTGCAATACGATCTGAGCGATCTTGACAGAGTAACGTAGGGTGTATAAAATCGCTATCATGTGGACAGTGTAAACCCAGTCAACATATTTTCCGAGGCCGACCTGGCTTTCGAACTACGAAGAATGACTTTGGATTCGTAGAGCCATTGAAGTGAACCGAAATGTAGCGATCCGACGACATTGTCTTGAAGAACCATACTGAAGATAGAGTTTTGAGTAAAAATTGATTTAACTTTCACCCGGAAATCTTCCTTAGACAAAACAAAGAGCTTCTCATTCTTGGCTTGCATAAGGCTGCCACGCGTGCTGCTAGGCGCATCGCACATCATGTTTGAGTAGAGGTGCGCTGCTCCCAGCACATAAAATTGTTGGTGAAGAGTTCATTTGGCAAAGCTTGCTTTAAAACGAGTCACACCCTATTGCACAATATGCTAGTTTAGCCGGTATGCCGGTATGCGCGAAGATTGTAGAAGGCCTTTTTGTCCACGAGACGAACTTAAAACATTCATCCAGCCATCGACGAGGCATACGACTGAAACAAACACCCAAGTGCCACAAGTCCTTCTGCAGCCCTTCATGGCGCCAAATCTGGTCAGAGAACACTGAAGGATCTTGTATTGTGCAGACGTTTGGTAACGTCCCCCATTGTCAAAACACGTTATCTAAATAGTGCCTTTATGCTACCACCTCAAATGCATTAGTTTTGGTGTAGTGACATGATACTTACCGTATGTCCTCGCCGTAAAACTAGGAACACTTGGCACTGTCGCAATCTAGAGAGAGGACCGTCATTCAGTCTTAGTTTTGTTTGCGAGCGTGCGTTCCTCATTGAGACACGGTTCACTATCACTATCTATCCAATGCTGGCAAATCTTTAAAGTTGAGCACGGCTGCTCTTAATGACCCATGCTTTATTAGAGAGTTTCTTGAATTTGGACCAGTAACTGACTCAACTCCGCTTCGGTGACCACAAATCTTTCAACCATACTCTGCCCGAAATTGATTTTTCCCTTAGTCGTGCTAATTCGTGGATAAAGGTCCTGTAATCGGTAGTGTGCTCTGACGATATAATATTGATTCAGGCAAAATGTTTGCGCGCTAAATGTGAATCTCGGTAACCCTATCAAATAAGGCCTCGCCATCAGCCACATTCCCATAATTCACTTCCACTAAGCCCATCCTGTTTCATGTCTTGTTTGCCTGCGACGACAGTGCGTCAAAAGTCGCGATAGAAAGGCAGACTGAAACAGACAGAATAGACTCGCCATAATGTTCCGAAACATCCTAAGGATTATTTAGTGAACAAAAATTTGATTAATGGAGGCATTTCTTTTGGTATTTTTCATGGGGTGTAGCCCTGACGCCGACTGATATAATAGGATAAGCTCTGTTGCACAGAAACAAGTCGAAGGATTGCAGAAGTAGGACAGTTCAGGCCCAGCAGTAGGTTTCCCTAAAACGTTCTTACTTTTCAACCCAGTTGATTAGATAGTGAGGAAACCTTGATTAATTGAAAATTGCTCTAAAACCTCCTGTCGATAGTTCACCAAAAATAGACTAACTGCTCTGTGTTGTGTTGAACTAAGGACTCGGATAATGATTTTATTCCATGGTGGTTGAACTCAAAAACCCTCCAGTCGGGAGGCATCTGTCACAGAATCATGCTCTCTAGACGTCAGTCATGAGAAACGAATTAGACGAATCACCTATTCTGGGCATATTT